ACACATACACATACACACACACTCACACGCACAAACACAAACACACACACTCACAGAAACACACACAGACACTCTCATGTCCAGTGCAGGCATGACCTCTATAATCATGTGTAAGTCGACACCTATCAGACGAGCCGTGCTCCAAATGAGCCAATTAAACTCAAGAACTCCTCCAAACTCCGCCCACAACCATGTGAAGGAGTGAAGAGCGTAAATGTCAAAACAAGAACAAAACAAAGGCATGGTTCCAACACCAGCGTCAATGTGGTGTGAAAAACGACGTTACGTAACGACGGGAAACACTCACCACCTGCTGCGCGTGTTCACACACACACACACACACACACACACACACACACGAGCACACGGTATGACCACACACATAGTACAAAACACAAACATCTAAAATACACATGCTAGACCTAATATATATATATATATATATACTGCATATACACTTTTTTTTTCTCACACACTCACAGGCTGATGACGGCGTCTAATTTCTTCATATCGTCGCGTCTCTCCACCTTGTGCTGGTTCTGACCCAGATGAGCAAATCTATAAACACACAGAGATAAAGAAGCATCAGTAAATGAACAATCAGCAGAATCACGGAATCAGCAGCAACAAGTCATTTCAACACTCAATTCACAGATCAAAGCAGCTGCAACAAAATCCTCAGCACGCGAATCATGACATTTAACGGATATCAGATACCGAAATTTCTGAAAAATGTGGATAAATGGGTGACGCGTTTCCTTGAAACGTCTGCAATGTGTGTCTATGTGAGTGTGTGTGTGTGTGAGTGTCTGTGTGTGTGTGTGTACCTACTTAACCATATTTTGGGGACAAATTTGTACCCAAAATTGAGCAAAACCTGACAAAATCACCAGAAACCTCCATATGGGGACGTCCTCATTTGTAAAACTGGTATAAAAAAAGTAAACAAAGTTTTTTTGAAATTGTAAAAATGCTATGTCTGTGTAAGTGTGTGTGCGAGTGTGTGAGAGTGAGTGTGTGTGTGAGTGTGTGAGAGTGAGTGTGTGTGTGTGAGTCTGAGTGTGTGTGTGTATACGAGTGTGTGTGTGTCTAAGTGTGTGTCTGTGTGTGAGTGTGTGTGTGAGAGTGAGTGTCTGTGTGTGTGTGTGAGAATGACTGAGTGAGTGTGTGTGTGTGTGTGACTGTGTGTGAGTGAGTGAGTGTGTGTGAAAGTGAGTGTGTGTGTGTGTGAGTCTGAGTGTGTGTGTGTGTGTGAGTCTGAGTGTGTGTGTGTGTCTAAGTGTGTGTCTGTGTGTGAGTGTGTGTGTGAGTGAGTGTGAGAGTGAGTGAGTGAGTGAGTGAGTCTGCTTGTCTGTCGGTCTGTCTGTCTGTGTGTGAGTGTGAGTGTGAGTGTGTGTGTGAGAGTGTGTGTGTGTGAGTGAATGAGTGTGTGTGTGTGAGTGAGTGAATGAGTGTGTG